AACAGAGTGGTCTGACAAACTATGAGTCCTGAGTCTAACTTTGACAACATGAAGAAGCAAACGTTCTTGGAGCTTTGTGAGCAGCTTGCCTCAACCCTGTAGCATCAGGATACACGCATGAGGGAGATCATGCTAGTTCAGAAGCAGATTGCTGTAGCCATCTGGAAGCCAGCTATCCCCACTGTTACAGGTCCATGGCTAACTTGGTGTTGGCAAGTCCACTGTTGGGATTATGGTGATGGACGCTTGTGAAGTGTCAGGATTGTGATTTACTTAAAGGTGGTGGGAATAAATAATGTCCATCAAATAACTGCTGTTTTTTGAGAGAATGGGCTTTCCAAACTGCATCAGGGCCATTGATGGGACTCATGTGTCCATGGTTGGCCTTCTGCAAGAAACTTGAGTACAAAAAACAAAAAAGCTACGTACTCCATCATTATGCAAGCCCTGATCGACCAGAGTGGCAGGTTCATGGACACTAATGTGGGATGTACTAGCAAGGTGCATGATGCCAGGGTTTTCCAAAGTTCCGGACTTCACCTTCATGGACAAGCTGGGACATTATTTCCACTGAAGGCTATTGTTATAAATGGAGTCATTGTCCCCACTGTTATTCTAGGGGACCCCGCTTACCCTTTTCTGCCATGGCTTATGAAACTTAACCTTGATTTCAGAGGACCTGGCAAAAGAAGGTTCAGCTCCACACTCAGTAGTTGTAGGATGGGGATGGAATGTGTGTGTAGCAGATTGAAATCCCGGTGGAGATGCTTACAGAACCATTTGGATGCCAGTGTCATCAGTGTCGTCCACATTATTATTGCATGCTGTAGTCTGCATAGTGTCCACGAGGACAAAGGTGAGTCATTTTGCCTAGACTGGATTCAAGACACTGCTGGACTTCTAGACCAGTACACACAGTCAGAGAGTCCCCTTGTCATTACTGTTGTACAATCCATACGCACAACCAAAATCAGGGATGCTTTGTGAGCCCCCATCATGGGTTTGCATGCTGCAATGGGTGTGGGGGAATTAAATAATATATGTGTGTATATGTACAGAAATACGAATGAATAGCAGTATTTGTAATTATGCCACAGTTATCCTGTGGATGTAGGCCAAATCCGGAAGGCGGTTTTTATGATTTTGTATTATGCATTTTGTATATTCAGGCCATATACCTCATCATGCAGTTTATGCTGTACTGTGATATGTATGAAAAATTTTATGCAGTTTATAAAAACTGGCCATACACACAAACACACAACTTAATTGTGTGACATGTTTTGAAATTAATGTGGTGGAGGTTATGCATGTTATTTAAACTTGTCATGTACTTCAAAGCACAGCTTATGAATTACTGTGATGAAGTTCCTCTGAAATAAATGTAATAAACTGCAATTATACTTTGTGTGCATGTGGAATGCTTTATTTGTAAACAATCATGTAATAGAAACTCTCAATGTTAAAAACCTGATAGGCAGACCAGCTGCCAGCAAAACTTACAACACAACAAACAAAAATAGTGCAAAATCCAGGGAATAGTGGATGTGAGGAAAAGCAATGCACACCAGTGCAAAACACTCAAGTTCTGTTCAGTGCCACCCAATAACTGTAACTATTTCTTTACGTCCACTGTCTCTTCTCCTTGCCCCTTCTAGGCCGCTGCTAGACTAGAATGGAGAACTGCAGGGGATACATCTGGAGATTCCAACTATACAGTTCCCAACCCCAGTATTGTCTAAAGAGAGCATGGTCTGTAGGACATGGTAACATTGAGGTGACTCAGGGCGTGGGGCTGGAGGAGGTGTTGCAGCTGGAGCAGCAGGACCTGGAGCCTGCAGTCTTGTTATCATGAGCACCATTATCCTCTCAAACAGTTCTTTTTGATGTACTCTATCATCCTCCCTCAACTTGTGTTCCTGCTCCAAAAGCGCTTCTGCCAATCTCTCTTCACACTGTCCAGCCTCTCTCTTTCCACCTGTCCTGCATCTTTTTCTTGCTGGTATTCCAGCTGCTGGTTTGCCTTCTGTTGAATCTCACCCATTACTTCATCTCAGATCCGCTTCCTCCTTACCCACTGCATCACAGTTCACACCCTAAGGCTCCTGTTTGTCTGTGTGTGCGCTGTAGAAGTGGAAGGGCCTGGTAAGGCAAATGAAAGAACAAGCTATTGTTTGAGCATGAGAAAAAAAATTACATTGCAACTGCTACACAGTGAGTGACCACAGTGAGTGACCAACTCAAGGTCAAAAGATGCTACTTTTTATCATTGGGTTTTATGTTTTTTCACACACAACATTTCTTGGCTCAGAGTCCTCTGAGCTCTACTCAGCAGGACTTCAAACATCATGGTAAAATGCACTTTACAAATTCCCTTTAAATTATTTATAAATCCTCACTATTTTCCCCACTCACTATGTTTCACTACCGATGGTTTTACTATCTTTCAGGCAAGAGAACATTATAGTTCTGGAGATTCCTTACTGGTAGCATGAATTTCTGTTCCAAGTCATTGGAAGCCAGCCATCCGTCTATGAGAAAGACCTTTTATATGCAGTGGTGTTGTAGTCCCAGGATATTAAAAAGACAAGGTGGATGAGGAATTATCTTAGCTTCTGTTGAAGCTGGTACAATAAAAGATTTTACCTCACCCATCTTGTCTCTTAAAAGACCTTTTTAGATGTTTGGGACTGACCAGCACATCTCCAAACGGAGGGGCTCGTGAGCTACAGAGGCAGACCTAATAAATATGCTCTGCACCAAAATCTCAACAGCCACCTGAAGTTCATACTATGTGAGACAAACCAGCTAGGAGTGGCTTAAAATCCATGGGAAAATCAACTGTGATTAATCTCTGAGCAAAAGTATTGCCAAGCTTAAAATTAACAAAAGTATTGTCAGTGTTAGGCCTCAAACTTCCGCTTTGCAAAGGTAAAAAGGGCACGCTTTGCAGAGGTGAAGAGGGCAAGCTTTGCAGAAGTAAGCTAAGACTTGTGGTCAAAACGCGCTGCAACCAGATAACACATTCTATCTCCTATAAAAGGAGATAAGTTGTGCCCCCGGGCACAGGTACTACACATTACAGGTACATACAGGTACTACACATTACCCCCTTGGGACAGTTAGGACTGAACGCATGGACTATACACACACCCTTCTGCCTGGCAGAGTTTGGAATACTCGGGTGACTCAGGACAATCTGGCATGGCTGGTTTATACTGTGCAGCATACTGACAGGGAAGGCAACGTAAGGCATTTCATTTTATTGCCCCAGCCCATCATGTAGACATAGTCATTGATTTCATTTGGAATTGTAGTTACTCAGGACCTCAGAAAATCAAGCCCCTACTTCATTATTTGGTTATTACTCTGCTGAATGTTTTAGCCTCAGTGTGGATTACTGCAGGAGTTCTCAACCTTTTTCTTTCTGAGTCCTCTCCAACATGCAATAAAAACTCCACGGCCTACCTGTGTCACAACAACTGTTTTTCTGCATATAAAAGTCAGGGCCACGTTAAGGGATAGGAAGCAGGGCAGTTGCTCGGGCCCCACATCACAGGGGGCACCGCAAAGTATTTACCTGACAGAATCTCTGAAGGCTGCAAAACCTGATGAGCCAGAGGTTTCAAATGATAAATGGGAGGAGTGCCTGAAATTCCACTGTGGAGGATAATCTCATTAATTCATTATGCTGAGCAAATAACAAAGGTAAATTCAACAGTTCAGTTACCATCTAATTAAGTTCACACCCTTTTGCAATGTTCAAGCCACTTCCTACGAAGATTATCTTCTTCCTTGTTGTCTCAAGTAAAATAAAATCTCTCCTTTCAAAGGCATGACCTGCCCGCCGCACAATTTTTTTTAAACAGATTTTTTTTAAGTGTTTTGTTGTACTTCACTTTTTTATGCTGCTTTGAATTAGCAGGAAATTGATTTAATAACTCTGATGGCTGGTTTACTTGGATGTAATTCACAGATTTAAAATGACTGTAGTTTATATCCAATGCTATTTTATTTAATTTTGTAATTTTACCAGCTTCATTTTTAAAATATTGTAATAATGTCCTAAATATCCACCTTCATATTTAGAGTCTTGATTAAATAGGAGGGGGCTCTTTGCAAAATATTTTGGCCTATCTTTTTAAACATTTGAATTTAACACTGATAAAGACATAAATGTACTTCATTAGGAAACATTCCAGCTGACATCCGTAATGGAATGCAGAGTCTTTTTAACACTCATTTTTAAAGTCATTTGACATTAAAAAGTTCAGCAAGATACTTTTTCTTTTTGTGTGTGTGAGTGTGTCTGTTGGCAGTCCACTGCCAGCGATGGTGATCAGGCAACATCTAAATCTCATGCATTGTGTTTATTCACTGTGTATGTGTGTGTGTCAGAGACAAAGAATTGGGCAGTGTCTCCAAGGTATTTGTCAACGTTTGCATGTTTGTCCAGGGTGTCTGACATTGTTCCTGTGTGTGGGTGAAAATGTTTGTGAGGGTGTGTCCTGTGTGTCCATTTCCCAGAGGTTAGGGCCAGGGAGACCATCAGATCATCTAGTCTGACTCTGACTTCTTATGTATGTCAGTGAGCTCCTGTGTTGTTTGGTAGTGTCCCTGGGGCAAGCAGTGTACCCAGTGGTGGAGGTTGGTGTGGCAGAGTGTGTCTGGCTGCGCATAGCTGGCCGTCTGTGTCAGCAGGTGGAGTGAGAAGTGCGGGAAGGAAGGGCTTTGCGGGGGTGGCTCGCTGCGCTGCGGGCATTGCGGCGCTGACAAGACCCCAGGTCCCTCGAGGAAGCGGTGACCTCTTTTTGCGCGCGTGTCTCTCTGCCCGGGCAGGCTCCTGCTCAGCGCCTCTTGGCGCGCTAGGGAGGCGGGAGCTGGGAGCGGGCCCGTGCTGTTTCGCAGGCGGCCGCCGAAGGAGGAGGGAGGGGTAGGACAGGGGCCGGCGCGGGGGCAAGGCGGCAGCTGGCGAAGGATGGCAGACAACGACCCGCGGAGCGCGCAGGAACTCTCGCAGTTTGTGAGTGCGGGTCCCAGCAGGGCGGGCCGGGCGCAGGGGGGGAGGGGTCACAGGCCAGGAGCCGCCCTGGCACCCGCGGGCTGCCGCTCTCCAGCGACTCTCCCTCTCTGGGGAACACGATCACGGTCAGTAACCCAGAGAAGCTGCTACAGGGAGGGAGCAGGTGCCGGTTCCTCTGCAAAGCCCCAGCGCACTGCCGAGTCCGGTAACAGTAGTGGCAGCTCCTTCCTAGCGCCCCACGGCTAGGGGTCAATAGCTCTGCCCCACGCTGGATTCTCACCTTTCGGAGTCAGTGGCATAAACCGGAGTTTCCCCAACAAGAGGAGGGTGATAGAAGAATGTTCTTTGTAAACCGCAGCAGCTAATCAGGCTAGTTCAGCTTATCACGCGTTTAAACAAGGAAACAGGTAAGGTTCTGTCCCAGTCAGCAGCTCTTACTGAGACACCACCGGAAAATGTAAAGCACTGGAAAGTTTGTTACCCAAGTTGTGTTTACACTTAAAGTTTCCTTAACTAATCTTGTTATTTGGCCCTCTGTGCCTGTTTTCCCACCTCTCAAATGAAGATAATGCTGTTTCACTTCCTCTGTAAACCCACCTTGAGATCTAGGGATGAAAAGAGCAATTACTAATATAATATAATCGTAACAAACAGTATGGTAATATTGTATTAAGGGCTGGTGTACACTGGCAGCGCTTTAAGTGGCTTGTGGGGTCACGTCCCTAAAAAACCCACCTCCACGAGGGGCGCAGCTCCCAGCGCTGGTGCACTGTCTACACGGGCGCTTTACAGGGCTGAAACTTGCTTCACTCAGGGAGGTGTTTTTTCACACCCCTGAGCGAGAAAGTTGCAGCGCTGTAAATTGCCAGTGTAGACAAGCCCTTAGTGGTACTTCACATTTATAGTGCCTTCCATCCCAGGAGTTCAATATGATTTACAAACATATCAGAGGGGTAGCCGTGTTAGTCTGTATCCACAAAAACAATGAGGAGTCCAGTGGCACCTTAAAGACTAACAGATTTATTTGGGCATAAGCTTTCATGGGTAAAAAACCTCACTTCTTTAGATGCATGGAGTGAAAATTACAGATACGGACATAAATATACTAACACATGAAGAGGAGGGAGTTACCTTACAAGTGGAGAACCAGTGTTCACAAGGCCAATTCAATCAGGGTAGATGTGGTCCACTCCCAATAATTGATGAGGTGTCAATACCAAGAGAGGGAAAATTGCGTTTGTAGTGAGCCAGCCACTCCCAGTCCCTATTCAAGCCCAAATTAATGGTGTTAAGTTTGCAAATGAATTGTAGCTCTGCAGTTTCTCTTTGAAGTCTGTTTTTGAAGTTTTTTTGTTGAAGGATGGCGACTTTTAAATCTGTTATTGAATGTCCAGGGAGATTGAAGTGTTCTCCTACTGGCTTTTGTATGTTACCATTCCTGATGTCTGATTTGTGTCCATTCTTTTAAGTAGAGACTGTCTGGGCTGGCCAACGTACATGGCAGAGGGGCATTGCTGGCACATGATGGCATATATCACATTAGTAGATGTGCAGGTGAATGAGCCCCCGCTGATGTGTTTGGGTCCTCTGATGGTGTCGCTAGTGTAGATATGGGGACAGAGTAGGCAATTGTGTTTGTTACAGGTATTGGTTCCTAGGTTAGTGTTTCTGTGGTGTGGTGTGTAGTTGCTGGTGAATATTTGCTTCAGATTGGGGGGCTGTCTGTAAGAGATGACTGGCCTGCCTCCCAAGGTCTGTGAGAGTAAGGGATCATTTTCCAGGATAGGTTGTCGATTGTTGATGATGTGCTGGAGAGGTTTTAGCTGTGGGGCTGTACAAGATGGCCAGTGGTGGTGTTATTTTCCTTTTTGGGCCTGTCTTGTAGTAGGTGACTTCTGGGTACCCATCTCGCTCTGTCAATCTATTTCCTCATTCCGCAGGTGCCTGCATCTGTAATTTTCACTCCATGTATCTGAAGAAGTGGGTTTTTTTACCCACGAAAGCTTATGCTCAAATAAATCTGTTAGTCTTTAAGGTGCCACCAGACTCCTCATTGTTTTTACAAACATAGTTAGCCTCACAACACCCATGTGAGAGAGGTATCCCCATTTTGCATACAGGAAACAAACACAATGAGATATAATTGTGCAGAAGGCAAAGAAAATATATTCAACTTTTAATTACTTGATTCATCATTGCTTGGGAGTGGGTACCTGAGTGATACCTTCAGTCTGTGTGATTGTGTCTCAGGATGATCTTCTTACTAATTAGATTGGTAGTTACAGCTCCTCTAAGCCAATCTGGAAAAGAATAGTTGTATTTGTTCTTTCATGTGTTCATACATAGAATCATAGAATATTAGGGTTGGAAGAGACCTCAGGAGGTCATCAAGTCCAATCCCCTGCTCAAAGCAGGACCAACGCCAACTAAATCATCCCAACCAGGACTTTGTCGAGCTGGGCCTTAAAAACCTCTAAAGATGGAGATTCTACCACCTCCCTAGGTAACCCATTCCAGTGCTTCACCAGCCTCCTAGTGAAATAGTGTTTCCTAATATCCAACCTAGACCTCCCCAACTGCAACTTGAGACCATTGCTTCTAGTTCTGTCATCTGCCACCACTGAGAACAGCCATGCTCCATCCTCTTTGGAACCCCCCTTCAGATAGTTGAATGCTGCTATCAGATCCCCCTTCACTCTTCTCTTCTGCAGACTAAATAACCCCCGTTCCCTCAGCCTCTCCTCGTAAGTCATGTGCCCCAGCACCCTAATCATTTTTGTTGCCTTCCGCTGGACTCTCTCCAATTTGTCCACATCGCTTCTGTAACAGGGGGACCAAAACTAGACACAATACTCCAGGTGTAGCCTCACTAGTGCCGAATAGTGGGGAATAATCACTTCCCTCGATCTGCTGGCAATGCTCCGACTAGTACAGCCCAATATGCCATTGGCCTTCTTGGCAACAAGGGCACACTGCTGACTCATATCCAGCTTCTTGTCCACTGTAATCCCCAGGTCCTTTTCTGCAGAACTGCTGCTTAGCCAGTCGGTCCCTAGCCTGTAGTAGTGCATGGGATTCTTCCTAAGTGCAGGACTCTGCACTTGTCCTTGTTGAATCTCATCAGATTTCTTTTGGCCCAATCCTCCAATTTGTCTAGGACACTCTGGACCCTATCCCTACCCTCCAGCGTATCTACCTCTCACCCCAGCTTAGTGTCATCTGCAAACTTGCTGAGGGTGCAATTCATCCCATCATCCAGATCATTAATAAAGAGACATCAGTAAGATCCAATGAACTTCTTAGCCATGCATCTTTCACACACTGCTTTTCTAATTTGATTTTCCTTCTATTTCATCACAGTATTGTTAGTGAAATTATCACACCATGTTTTATTTTTCACAGAACAGAAAGTGCTTCTGAAGTGTCAAGACAGTATATTCTTTGCTGATTTGGGTGGATGTTTTAATTAAATAGTTATTTTTTACAGGCAGAAAACCTACTACAGCAACTGCAGGAGAACTTTCAAGCTTTGACTGAAAAGTTAACTCTGAGAAATATCCTTTTTTATTATTCTGTATGTTACTAGATTAATAGAGCAAGTTCAGTAGGATTTTAAATAAGCTTATATAAAAAACACTAACTGTTTCACCTGGTTGGTTTATCTGGAATTTTATTTTGAGAAATCAAGATCTGGATACACTTACACTTCAGTTTGGTATTCAGAAAGATCCTGAATACAATTAACCACCCATTTATACAGAAATCCAAATTGTACCATAGTTAAATATTTTACCTTTCCTAAGAAGAATGCTGATATTTTATGGTAAAGACTAGCCAGCGTACAGCAGTTCTTGCTGAGGGAAATCTATAAGAAAAGGTGGTAAGTTGTCTGCAATATCCTGAAGGCCAGGTACAATCACCTCGGCAAGAACCGTGAAAGAGGAAAAAGAGAGGTCTATAAGAACTGCTTTTTAAATTAGTGTATCATGCATAACAAATAGAAAGTAAAGACAAACTTTCTTTTAGCCTTCCATGTATAGGGAAAGGAGAATTGGACCCAAAGAGAGAGAAGCTGAGAACAAAAAGGGCTCTGAGGTCTCGCTCACTAATTAACAATACAGAAACTGGGTCACAGATATCTGGAAACTTGTTACAGCTTATCTTGTGCAGCAACCAACCTCCTATCTTATTCCCCTCTTCCCCCCCCCACCACATTTTTGTAATTCAGCTTCTGTGTACATTTTGATTGCATATTTATGTTGTTCATGGTTGACCTTACAGGTAGCATTAGTAGATGCAGCTGTAATTCACTATGGCCTCCTAGGTAATAGGGTGTTATACAGCATAATTTCTCTCTTTCAGAGCAACTTCTTGAGGCACATTTCTCACAAACAAACCAGTCTGTTAGGAGGAAAGCTGTTCTAACTCCACTGAGTAGGTAGGCATTCAAGTAAGCATTCAAAACACTCACTGAGCACGGCCCTTTTCAGATACTATAAGACTATTATTGCAATACAATTTTGTAACATTCCTTCCAGCTTCAATTTTACATGAGATAGATGAACAATGAATGGATATGATACTGAGACATCTGGAAGAGGAACTTCTGACTGGTAAACATTTCATAGAAATGAAAGTCAGCAAAACCGTACTCTTGCTATACATAACAATGTTCTCTTTAACTTTTTACTGAAAGAAATGGGTGAACGTATTGATGACCTTGAAAAGCATGTCACTGACCTAATGGCACAGGCCGGGATAGAAAATACCAATGAGGATCTGATGGTGAGAGTTACTCTGTAAAACAAAGTTTTGTGTTGTTATGCTGTAAACTGCTTCCACACTAATGGGGAGGAAGGCTTGGTGCCCACGTTCTCCATCCCTTTTAAAGGTGGGCATGTGAGTTACAGTTTGCGACTATGAAGGTTGGAACGGAAGGAGTCTGTCCTCCCACTCTAGCATCTCTCTTATATCAAGCTCATTAAGGGTCCATTAAGAATTACCTACACTGTCTGAACCAGTTGTCAAACTTCACTAGTAGACAAAGTCCTGGTGCAGACAAGGCTTAACACAGATGAAAGATTGTCTCTAAATCACAGAGAGCATTATTTAGAGAAATTAAGTTTTTGGTGCTTTGTTTAACAATGAAGGCTTCCTATGCATTACATCTTTTCCAATTGGTCTGGATACCTGAAGCTCCACTAAAATGCCAAAAATAAATGCTTTGGAGTGCATATATTCCCTCAATGGGAACTGCACACCCAGATCCACAATATATTCTAATAGACTATCACCTTGTAGATTCAATTTAAATGCTTAATATTAAACTGAATATCTCGTAAGTAACAGTTTGAGACTAACTCAGAAACAGAACTTATGTAAGTTTACACTACGTATTTTCAAATCCTGAACTCATTTTAGCAAATTTCTAAGGTGACATCCCAAGAACACAGAGCAAAGTTAATGCCTAAAATTGCCTTAGTTTAGGCTCCCATTATATCCTGAATTGTAGTGTATGGGGGGTAGGGGCAGAGTCAAACATTGTAATTTTGCATCCTGACAGAAGATTAGCACCTGATTTTCAAATATTGTTAAAATATTTTGCCATGTAAGTCTGCATTTATTTGGAATCTAAATTGTATTTAAAAAAGGTTGAGGTCATTTTTAATAATTTGATATGCCTGGGATTTGATTCTGCTAACAGCATGCACTATAGCAGGGATCGGCAACCTTTGGCACGTGGCCCATCAGGGAAAACCGCTGGTGGGCTGGGACGGTTTGTTTATCTGCAGCATCTGCAGGTTCGGCCGATCGCAGCTCTCACTGGCCACGGTTCGCCGTTCCAGGCTAACGGGGGCTGTGGGAAGCGGCAGCCAGCACATCCCTCGGCCCACGCCGCTTCCTGCAGCCCCCATTGGCCTGGAATGGCAAACCATGGCCAGTGGAAGTTGCGATTGGCCGAACCAGCGGACGCTGCAGGTAAACAAACCATCCCGGCCCGCCAGTGGATTTCCAACGGGCCGTGTGCCAAAGGTTGCCAATCCCTGCACTATAGCATGCTGCATTTTTAAACTATTTATTTTTCAGCTAGTTGTATATAAAATTAACAGGAAAAATTAAGACTTTATCACATACCTGAACTATCACAATGACCCTAATTTGTAACTAAAGAATTGATGAACCAATGAATGGTGCCTAGATCTCTGGACAGAAGCCAGAGAAATAAAAATAAAATTTAAAAAACTAACACCAATCAGCATACCTCACAGTTATATAGTTGTCTCACTTTAATTGTCCTGTAGTATTTGGTGATATTTTCCTTCTATTACCATGATTTTCCTTTAACCCATCTGAAAAAAAATCCCTGAATTTGAGATAAATGAGTTGATTTTTGTGATTTAAAGGAACCCATATTAAACAGAGCAAGGAAGTGCAGTAAATCATTATGTGCACTATTTTCTTCTGTCACTTCTGATGCCTAATTTCTGTGGAAAAACAAAAAATATTTCATAACATTGAAACCACCATCTCAAATCTTAAATTAAGATGTTAATTGTACAAGGATGCTCCTATTATATTGAACCATATTCATTAATTGAATAAGCCAATAACTTTTTTTTTTTTGGCACAGCACTGAAAATGAGAACATACTGATCAAGAAATACAGACTGATTCTGTATTACATTCTATTGAGAAAGAGGAAGAATGTCATTTACAAACAGGATGTGTATTTCTACAAAATTCAAGTGAAAATACCACACATTGTAAAGGACTTCAAAGGGTAAAATTTTTAGTCTTGCACCATGACTGAAAACTATAACATCTATTAATATTTCAATCACAAAGAATAGCTCCAGTGAAAGAAAAGTATATAATCAAATTATGTCATACAAGATATGAAGTCTCCATTTTTTATTACTGATCCAATAAAGGAGGAAAGATGAGTTATGACCATCAGACTAATGACACATTTTACTTAAGATTGCCACAGAAGAAACACTATCTTATCAAGAGATAAGACTAAATTTGTGTACAATATTCATTGCAAAAATCCAAAAGTATATATAATGAATCTGCCCAACCATGTAATTTTTAAAATGATAAAGATTAAATAAAAAGCTATTCATTTTCAAAATAAATGTTTACATTTGTTTCAGAATTTCCTTGTTTTTGAGTTTAATAGTCCCAAAATAACTGAATCCTGTTGTGGCAATGTATTTCCACACTTGCAATAGTGTATGTGTATGAACCCACATTATTTTGTCACTCTCTTAGATTCAGTGTGCGCACGAGCTCTCTCTCTCTCAGAATATGTACCCATACTATTAATGCTGAAATATAAGATTTTTATCTTTTTATCTGAGTGATATCGTCTACTTTGGTGCATAGACGATATTTACACTACAAGCTAGGGCTGTGATTCCTCTGCTTGAATATGCACGCTCTCACTAACTCTCATCAAGCTAGTGAAAATATAAGTAGCAGTGTAGCCACGTTAGCATGGGTAGCAGCACCTATTGGTTCAGGAGGGTTTGTGCTAAGCACGGCTAAGCCGTGCCTCTGCTGCCATTACCCACGCTACCATGGCTACACGTCTATTTATACTCACACTAGTTCAGTGAGAGCTACCATGAGTATGTGTACATAAGCAGGAGAATCGCACCCCTAGCTTGTAGTGTAGACATTAGCCAAAGATGCATCTTGGAAATTCATCTGTACTTACACACCTCTGAATACAAGTTGCTTTTTCAAAGTTATACACAGAAAAGGACTGTGCACTTAAATAGAGCCCTCAGTTCTGTCTTGCTACATACCTTTTCAAAACCCCACCAAAATCGTGCATACCAACACTGAGGTATGCATACATCTCACCATACAATTTGTAGTAGGAAAACACAGCTCACCCACATACTTTCCCCAGCATGAGGGGTTGAGCTCAGAAAGGATCCCATTTTGAATATAGGATAGGTTTTGGAACATGAGATAATGCTATCATACATGTACTTAACAAGATAGACTTGACAGAATACATTAAAGAAAACTAATGAACTTCAAGGATATAAGACTCCAAAAGGATACTATTACCAGGCAACATCTTGCTGGAAATGGAATTTAATGGCATTTGAACACATCTTTTACAGGGTACAAAAACAAAGGTATGAGTAGGTAAATAATATTGTTCAGAAAAATGCTACTTTATTTGTAATCCAGAAGCATGCACTGAGCATTGTTCACACAAGGAAAGACTGTCCCCATCCCAAAGAATTTACAGTCTAGGAAATAATTTCCCAATTAAGATATTTACAATGCAGTTTATATCTGCCTTTTCTTGAATGCACCCAAAATTAACTCTAGTAAAGGAAACAAACAGGAAAAGACCAATGAAGAGAAGCAAGTTAATCATTCTCAACAATAGTGTTTCAGGGAGGAGTGCACACTTAAAACTACTATGGATCTTGTTTCTTCACCCCACCTCCCTTCCGCTGGCTTGAGACAAAAAGCAGGAATGCAGTAGTACAGGAATCAGTCTTCCAAAAGTGGAACACTAGAATAAAGCAGTTATTTCTGAGGGCTTCTTTAAAGTAGAAAAGTTGCATCAATCTAAGAATCTATTTAAAAAAAAAATCAACCTAGTTAAACAAGTTCTAATCCCTAACAGACACATGTAAACCAGTTTCATTGTCACATAAATCTGTTTGTGCTTTGGTAATACCAAAACAAGCGGAAATTATTTGAGCATGGATTACACAGGTTTAAGCAAGGTAGGAGTTTCACCTCAGTCTAACTAGATCTATTTAAAACACTATCTCACTCCTGCTATATGGACAAGAAAAGGCTAAGCTAAATAAGCATACTAAACCACTGATCAACTAAGCATCTACCCCTCTCCTGCATCAACTGGTCAAGCCAGTTCTATTTAGTGTAGCAGGAAGAACAAAAATAAAATGATCAACTGCTTTTCAGCTGTTAAATTGTTAAAATTAGTTTCTCAACTATTTAGTGAAAGGCAGAGTCCAGGATGGACCCTGAGAGTCAGTGAACAGTTGACCAGGCTTTAAAAAACCTTGTAGCCCCTACTAGTTCATGTTTATCTTTGACATTACCTGGGACACTTCTCTTTCCCTTTATAATGCAAGTGCCTTACTTCATTGTATCTAAGAAATTATAAAATTTAATGAGCAGCATCAGTTGTGAACTCTCCCACCAGCCTAATCAAGTTTTGCAGATCTTTCCAACTACTGCTGGAAAGGCATAACGAGTGGGGTACCGCAGGGGTCTGTTTTGGGACCGGCTCTGTTCAATATCTTCATCAACGACTTAGATATTGGCATAGAAAGTACGCTTATTAAGTTTGCGGA